TGAGCTTTTATTTTTTTTTAGATCCTCTTAGGGTAACGCAGTTTCACCCGGCAAACCAATTATATTCGTTCATAATAATGAAGAACGATGTTTATGAACACAGAAACAACCACCAAGCGTAAAGTGTTACTTGGGCATTTGCTCAAGTAAGTAATGTGTAACTTACTGCAACTATAGAATGAGATTTTGTAATTAAGAATTTTAAAGTTATGAGTTAACTAAGAAATTACTTAGCAACAAGTAACTACTTCTTTATAAATACGGGTATTAGACCTGCCACGTTTTCTTAAATACTATCTATATTCTGTTCTCGCTCAATTAGGTATTTTTTACATGTAACAAACATAAAATGGTTATGCCGCCATTTATTGCAGGAAACAAAATCTTTTTCCCTTTTTTGCCATAGGTGCGACCTCTTACGACAACCACCATAGAAAAAGAGGTGGCGAAATCTTTTACGCGCATCAAAGACATCTGGTACATCTTGTTCGAGTATGCTTTTATTAAAGCATTACTTATAAAATATTTTGTTTAGTGCGATTTAAAGGAATAATAAATTAATCAAAGTTCGTTTATCGTAAAAGATTGTCTAAAGTATAAAAGTAACATATTTTATCGCCATCTTCTGTCTTATTCTTGACACACCACCCCTTGGACTACTTTATAGTGACGATCGAGATTATATTAAAGTTCCATATGGCTCTACTAGATGGCATGAAAATAATGTAGCTCGTACAATATAAACATATTAAAAACCTACAGATATTAAGTAGATAGACACCTCAATAATAAATAATAAATAATAATAATAAATTTATTTATTTACCAGAAAACACGTAGCCAAAATACAATAAGTTCTGTGACTCCCACACTAGGCATGGCCTGTCTCGTAAAATAAATACAAATTAATGTAACATTCGTGTGTCACATTCAAGTTTTTAGCTTCAAAAAGGTCTGTTTAAATTATATTGCGATGTCTGTAACATGACCCAAACAAAAAAAAACAATGCTGTCTTTAAAAACCTATTCTTCGCCTTACACTACCTTAAAACTGTTAAATTTAAAGGCCCTAAATATATTATAATCCCAAAGACCAATTTAATGTTTGTTCTATTGTCATCAAGAAGTTTTGAAGATGACGTGACGCGGTCTGTGTTCACATTTTACGTAGTAGAGCTAAGCTCCCCTATTACGACTGCCCCACCATTGGGTATACACAAAAAGGAAAGACCACGTTTTTCCAGAACTTCAGCTTAATGCTGTTTGGTGAGTGACGCTAGCCAAAAACCTTTTTTACTCGTTATGTAAAATTAAATGATGGCTAATAATCTTCCATTCCGCTCACTAGATGTCGCCAGTTGGGACTGGATAAAGTTTTTTGTTATACCACTATTATCGTGTTACTAGTTAGCGAATAACCATAAAGGCTAATAATCTTCCACTCACTAGATGTCACTAGTTGACAATGAAGTAAAGTTTTTGTTACCTACACAATTAATATCTTAGTAGTATAGTGAATAATATCATAAGCGCTAATAATCTTCCGTTCACTAGATGTCGCTAGTAGGTACTAGATAGTTATTATATGAAATAATCTTTCGCTCAATAGATGTCGCTAGAAGAAGAAGAAGAACTGAAGAAGTTTTTTGTTACACAAGTTGAAATAAGTTTTAGCAGATTAAAGAGTAACTGTATCTTTACAAAAACAATGACACAGTTGTTTGCACATTTGAACTTTTTTTATTTTTCTGTTTCTATGAATATATGTGGTTTGGTCTATTTATTTTTAATTTTAACTAATAACAATGTAACTAATAGTACAGAATGAAATATTAACCCTTACATTTTTAGAATAAATTAATTTGGCATTGATTAAAACTACTTTTCATCAATCATATAAATTAAACGCGATAAAATCCGTAAAAGTAGTTTTAATCAATTTTTAGTGTTCGCGTTACTATAAGAAATGATTAAATTAATTTCCCGTTATAAAATCTGCCAAGTATTACACTTAATTTTTAAGTAGCGCTGTTTCTTTTAAATAAAAGTTTATCAGTTTCTAGAGTTTTATATTAATACTCAAAACAATGCCTCAGTGGTTTAATCTTTAATTTCTAGCACATTTTGAATATTATTATATAGCTTTTTGTTATTTTTACTGTTAGTTAGCTCCTTAGTTTGATTTATTAATTTCTAATCTAATTAATATGAAATATAACTAATATTACAGAAAGAAACAGTAACCTATATAATTATATAATTTTTCTAACAAATTAACTTTCCCGCTATGAAATCTGTTAAATATTTCACTTAGTCCCGAAGTGTCGCTGCCCTGGTGACAGAAAATATCGTGGACGCATTTGATTCTTAATCGAGATCAGATATGCGTGAGTGGGTGTCTAAGGGACACAGCGTCAATTTACCAATTAGTAAACTGCATATGCTGGTTTGCCAGTCAACCTTGCATGTACAAAAAAGGCAGAGTTTACCGTAATTTAGGTTATAAACCGACTCCATCACCGAATGCCCCAGGTGGGGTTGTCAAGCCAAGCACTGGCTTATATTTAAAAAAAAAACGAGTGTGCTTATGACCTTACGATTGAAGTAAAACTTCTTTAGCTACATTTGTATGTATGCATATTTATTACTTACAACGTTGCAACGTTGTACACTAACACAAAACATGAACTGTAAAATGAATTTACAATTTCATTCATTTTAAACGTAGAATATTTAATGTATTGAATAAAATATTAATTCATAAAATTGTTCAAAACGAAATAAAATTACGAAAAATAACTGGCTATGAGAGAAAGAGAGAAAGAAAATCAAGAAAATCAGCGCGCGCATTGCGCTCTCTTGCTTATATCCCCCACTCAACTCCTGTTCACCTCGCATGATCACACTTTTCGTAACGCTTTCGTCACGCATTCACCAACTTACTCCCCAGTCAAGCGTACGTAAAGAAGTTTTGCTTCTAGAAGCTATATTTTACAGTGCTCGATGTCTCTCGTCTTCGACGAAGCTCCCTGACATAATGTCACTTACTTCAAACTATCGGAAGCCATGAGGTCTCCGTATCATTTTCTATAATCACCTTTTACGCTCGCACACGCGGGACGAAGGTGAGGAGATGAAAAAGCATATTATAATCAACTACATTGTCGTAATGATCTCTTTAATCCTACAATTAATCACTTGACGATTGTGTTCAATATTAAAATTAATTAATTCCTAAATTTAATATTTTAAAATTTCTCTACCAGCTGAACTCCTTGCAGGCATAATTTAATAAGCTAGTGAGCCAATGTGTAATGGTTATAGCCAGTGAGTAATGATTATAGCACGAACCGGTCGGCTTGACCGCGGAAGGACCAAGCTATCACAGGGTACCAACGCAAATAGCAGCTCAATACTGGTGATCTTGAGAACCGGAGATGTTTTTAATGAAAACGAAGCCATGTTAGTCCTCAGGGAGGGCAACGCATTTGCATAGATGTCTATGTGCTACAGAATTCACTTACCACCAGGTGGACTGTGTGCTCGTTTGTCATCCTTATTTTATAAAAACAACTACTTCCGCTGCAAAAAGGCTTAGTCTTAATCGTCACACATAAGCTTGACGAAATAAAAAAAATAATTGTATAGCTTTTATTTAAAACAAGTACAGAAATACATTACGCATTTATTTACAAACATATTTTAATTAAATCTAACTTCCATTTGTGTTAATATCAAACATCTATAGTAGGAAAAAATATTTAATTTCCTTAACATTAACACAATATTAACACTAGTAACACTAATCATTATAAAATACAAAATAATTTACTTAAGGCCACGACTGATACAACATTAACGCTTAACAACTTTACACAAAAGCTTACCTCTAAATATTTATATTTTAGGAGTTATAAAATTTACAATAATATGTATAGTAGTGAAGCTGGAAATAAACATTTTTATAAATAATCATGTTTTAAGTTGTAACCAAAATGATATAGTAACACACGAATCTTTCTCAGCTGAACCTGAGCAGACAGATGCATATAAATCGAGTTTCACATTATATTCGAATTCACTTGTTTAATTTTCAATATTTCAAACATTCCATGTGGTGTACATACAAATTTTTTCTTACATAACCTAAAAATATTTTTATTTTACAGAATAGTAGATAAAGTCAATTTACTACTCAAGTAATAACATCACTAAACTTGACTTTGTTGATGAATATTTTCCTACAGCACTTAGAACCTAGATCCTTGAATCTAGAACCTTTTTTAAGGTGGTCAGATAATTTCCTTTTAGCCGATTCGTCTGATTTTATTTTCTATTTTAATTATTATTTCACATACCTATTAAAAAGATAAATGCTTTTTTTTTCACCGGTTAAAATTTCTCTTCAATGTTGCATTTTATCGAAAGATTTTTGGAAAATTTATTCGCTTTTCGTTCCTCTTTTATATTGTCGTATATTAATGTTATTTAAAATAAATAAAGACTATATATACAGACATCAATACATTATAGGAGTATAATCTTTTAATAAAATACTATGATATACTTTTAAGCTTAAGTGCAATATTACTGAAATCAAACAATAATTTTAATACTGCACATTATAAATTAAATTATGAACATTCAAAAATACTATATATAATAATATGTTTAAAATATTCATATCACTCAAAAGGTCTTATTTTGTGGTATTTTTAAAATTTAAAACAGTTAAAAATAATTTAAACCTTACTTTTTGATTCGTACCTTCCGTACATACGATACATAATCTACTTCACTGGTAAATATCTTTCAAATATATTTTTTAAGATTCGATTTTGAAAAAAAAACGCCATTGTAATATTTCTTTATACATCTTGTAACCCCCGAATTCAACTTTTTCCTAGGGATTAGTACACGTGTACTTATTTCAAAAAATGGTTGCTGTTTTCCATCCAAACAGACATATTTTATTTTCCTGTCCAATCAACGTTATTACTTCAAGGAGGTGCAGCGGCTATGTTATTTGGAACTATCTCCGACTCTTCATCAGCAGTATCAGCCTCACTTTCTTTAGTTACGGGTTCTTCAGGCTCATCTCGCATCAAGGTTCTGTACTTTTTAGCGATTATTTCCCAGTCAACTACATTCTCAATGCGCGTCGTATTACTAATGCTGAGTTGGGAACCCAATGGACTTAAATGCACTACGGAGAGACGCGTAGAATCTGAAATGTAATGTAATAACATTACATGTGCAAAATTGAAATAATATCTCCATGTCATCAAGTGGATCTCGAAAAATAAGACTTAGAGAAGAAATTAAAAGATCTTAAGGCCGTCTATATATATAGAGGGATAAGTATTTTGTATTTATACCGGATATAAAATGCCCGCACTAAAAAGAGTATGCATCAACCTCGAATCAAAACGCAAACTTTATGGTAGTGCAATCGCAAAAATATCTAAGCGTAGTGATTTTAATAAATAATTCATAATACCACGTATCATGTACAACTATGGACAATTTTCGTGTGAAGATGAAGAAGAAAATTTGAATTATTGGGTCCTTACATACGAGTTGTACTGACTACTTTGATCCGAAATATATCCTCTTTCGTTAAGAATTCCAAATTCAAATTTTTATAAATTCATTTATCTGGTATATTTGAGTTTTGAAAACAGTCATTCGTTTGTTTTTTTCCTCATTATTTTTTTCTTTGGCGTCGCTTATTACCATACAATGGAAAACATGAAATATCGGTAGGTATATTTACGAGTACGAGTTCTACTGTGGCACCAGTGCTGCAGAAGCAGGTCGAAGCATTAATGATGTGTACGGTGCTGGTGTCGCAAAAGGAAGCACGGTACATTTTCGGTATCAACGTTTATAAAATGAATATATAAAACGTATATAAAACGTATATAAAACGCCAATTTCATATGTAAGGACCTATTATTTCACTATTAATTGATTTAAAACGAACGGAAGCTAACGGTAATTATAAGAATATGAGCTTTTATAACTCACATTATAACATCTACAGTGGGCTATACAAAACCAAAACCGTGTAGAGGCTGCTAAGATTATCCACTACGCCATATCGACCCATGGCTGTCATAAGAAGCGACAGATGGAAACTTAAACAGAAAATTGTCAGCAGCATCTCCATGATAACAACTAAAATAAAACAATTTCGATTGCCAACCTGCCTGCCAAGCTAGGCAACTACGAGTATGACAACATTTCCCCTATAAGATAATCTGTGGGGTAGGCGTACGTTACGTAAAAGATTTTTAATAGCTGTAATGGATAGGTTGACAGCCTATGTTTCTAACAATAAATTTTCTTTAAGAATTATGAATTAAAATTCTATTTTTTTCATTGTTAGTTTATTTTTGCTGCACGGCCTCCCGTGTGTTTATCTCTGCTTAGCTTAATGGTTTACTAGGAGAGCATTGTGGTGGCGCTTTCGTCGCGCCACAAGCGAGAAAACACATCGAAGCCTAAATCGCGCTATGTTAGTTCTGAAGCAAAAACAGTATATATAGAATAGCCCTGAACTATCATATTCACGCCCTCCTTTCACCCTAGGAGGGTCGCCTCCGTTTACGGCTTAAATATCTCTCGCTAGATCATTAAGCCAATCCCAAAAGGTGGTGTTTAGTCGGTAAAAGTCTTCACATAACCACGCAGCCGGCTATGTGGTATGCTATGAGTATTCACCAACTCCCTCCCCCGTTACCGGAAGGTTCCCTTATTTACTTCGGGCGCAAAAAAAAACTATCACATGAAGTGTTGGCCGCTCCCCGGGCAGAACAACTTGCCTGGCGGGAGATCTAACCTTTTGCTACTACGGCCACAAGTCCGCCATTTGAACTGTTCTGTCCATAAAAATTTAAATAAATAAATTCATAAATTATGCATTCTTCTATAATCTGCATGTCTTATTGTCTTTGTAACAATAATAGAAAGTTCTATACGTATAATTGTACAAGTAAGTGATTTACCTTTTGGTACAACTTGCCCTCTTTTTACCTTGGATAACCACTTTGCCCCGGCTTTTGATCTCGCACTCAGCTGCTCCTGCCTTTGCACTCCAATCATATGCACCAGACTTGTTCGTTTCTTCTTACTCAGACGATTCTAAAGACAAGAAAACATGTAATTTTTTTTATAAAAGGAAATTATACACAATAGAATGATATGACAAAATACTATATGATACGGATACTATAATTATGATGGCGGTAAACAGTTTGATTGTTATTCATACACATTTGGTGACTTCTCATTCTAAATATGCTGCACTTTGTATAAGTAGACAAAGTTTTTGCCGAAGCTTAAGAATACAAAGGGACAATATAATATCACAGAATGAATAATGTTACAACGTAAATAATATGTCCTACAGCACTAGCCTCCTCTCATATCTGAAAGGATTATAGATCAGTTAGTCAGCTACGCCGTTCAAATGCTTGTTGGCAGATTTTACATCATGTGTTCAAAATATTTTATTTCCCCATGATGCTTTTCTGAACACATGGTAAACCTGCGCTAAAAACTGTAATTAACAATTTTATTGGTACCGGTGGGTATTTAGCGTGAGATGCAGTTTACGACGATCACTTAGTCCAAGCATATTTCAATAATTTCACCACAAATAAAAAGGTCGATCCAAAAGCTTACCTTACATCTATGAATGAGCCACATAAGCCAAGTTGTGACTAAATTAAGTGGAGATGGAGCTGTATTCGTTCGGTGCATGTTACGAATTAACTTTGATAAACCATATTTCCATTCTATATCTGATTGAGCCTGTAAATTTTTAATAACTTTATGATTTTGTAAACCGATCTATCAAATTAATTTTACATAGTCTTTTTTTGCTTTTGTTTTAAGTACACTTTTTTAATGAGCACAAATATATAGCTTTATATTTTCACCTTAAAGTCTGTAGAAGAAATCATTTAAGATTTTAATTTTAATTATCTATTATTTAAAAAGTCACACATATATTGAATTCGTTTATTTTTAATGAAGCATTTTAATTTCAGTATTAAATCGTACATGCTAGATTATATAGCAAAGTATAGCAGAAGCATGGTTTTTAGGACATTTTTATATTTAAACATGTTATATTTAATAATCACATACTTAAATAATTTTACTTATTTTGTTTAGGTAGAGGAATTTTAAGTAACATTGTTGATAGAAGCGCCACATGTGAATAGCGGTTTCTTAAAGTACCTGAATTCTTTGATACGTGTCTGACATCATAGCAATCAGGAGATTTATTAGTACCACCACCGATACCAGCATGTAAATTCCAAACACAATTTTGAACAAGTAATTTGTCCACGCTGGTTGCGTGTTAGTGTCATTTCGATGCACTCTCGTTTGTTCCGTTGTGGTTTGACCAAACACAGCGAAGAACAGCAGCTCGAAGGAAAATAGTGATTCATCGTCACTGCGAACAAGACACACGTTCGAAGTAACTGCTCAGTTACCTGTATCCGTTGGTAAGTGTCCGACATCATCGCAATTAGGAGCGTTACGAGCACCACAACAGATATCAGCAAGTAGGCCCCGAAGACGAACTTGAAGAGGTTCTGTGTCCACCAAGCTCTCACGGTGGATACGTAGTTTAAGTCGGACAATGTAATCTGGCCGAAAATGGCGAAGAACAATTTCTCCATGGCTTCAATCGGTGACAAAGCCGCTAGAAGACAATACTCAAATGGACCAAATTCTCACGTTGCTCAAACTCAGTGCAAAACAGAGGTAGGGGTAGCTTAATGCAGTATTCTTTATGTGAGAGATGTGTACGTATTGATAAAGTCATGTGTTCATGTTTTACTAGGCATCAATTTACCCCTACTATATGTACTAAAATATTCTGATTTATTGCTTTGTATCATAACAGAATAATTAGATCTTATTTCAATTATTTTTCAAAGTAAATTTAATAAAATTTTGTTATGATACTTTGCATTAGATTATCCACAATATTTTTCAAATAGTCAACTAATTTAACAACAAATGTGCACGGATGGGGTAGATTGATACGTGTGAATGTTGATACAGTTATGTTTCAGAGTAATTGTTTACTTGTTGTTTGGGATCAGACTGTAACTAATTATAATGTTGTGAAAGTTTAAGAATGTACGCCAATTTCCCGATGCATCATTCTACCCCAATCCTCTCTATACAAACTATACATGAATGGTGTTGGCACACCGTAAGTACCACAACGACGACAACAAAAACACATCCGTAGCTAAAAGTGATACCTCGAGACACTGGTGTTACAAACGCAGGACATAAGCCAGCGACGGCATGCGCAAAATATAATTGCTCCATCAAATGCGGTGAGGTCGGCCACTCATTCCACTAAAACTATTATTGTGACAAGGAATGCATGTTCTGTGTCAGCATGGACTTCTGGAATATACATCTCTCGTACAATTTCACTCAGCGTGTTATGTAAGAAATTTACGTGTCAATATTCATTTACACAAATTTTTCTGTCATAACACGTTGGATGTACACACACTAATTATTTGCATTAAAATTCATGATGAAAACTATAAAAATATTTTGTATAGTTTGTGAGTTGTGTTCTTTTGTATTGTATTGTACAGACCTATACATTCCACATTCAATATGTTGTGTAGTAAAAGTAGCGAATATTGCCTAACGAGTACTAACTTGAATAATAATATCAATTGACGATGATAACATTCCCGATGTAGCGGCGAACATTCAAGCCTGCAAGCGATGGTTTTTAAATAAATAAAAAAAACAAGCATACCGAATCGTATTGCAATCATCATACGATGAATGATTTACTTCATTAGCGAAAAAATAAAAGAAAATGTCGTTTGCCACTATCTCTAACACGGACTTACGCCCCGTTGGTCCCTGTTTCCTCCGATATGATTCCCCAGAAAGGCTATCAATCCATTGTGAATCATATGTTTGTCGTTTCATCCGTAGACTATTATCTATTTTGTAATAATGGTGATTAAAAAAATGTCTATTTAAATGTATGAGATACGCTATTCGAAAATTAAATAAGGTTATAAAAAGATATTATACTACAACACCAAATACTAATCTACCAAAGTTGATTTTGGGAAACAAGGTTGTAAGTTGCAAATACTGTATATATTCCCATGCTTTGACAATTTGTTATTTGATCTCATCTTTGAAGAATTGACATGTTATTCTTTATAAGTTTTGAAAAAAATATAGAAAAACACTTACCGTCTGAAAAAACTCTCCTTCTCGCTTGTCTAGCATATTTATTATCTTCCGGTTTATTTATATTTCTAAACGGCTGGTTGAGAGCCACAATATGCATCGAAAATCCAAAGACAAATATAGCTAATACTGCTAAAAACCTTCCCAAGTCTTTCATAAGATCACCAATAATTATAGCCCATGGACCGAAAAGATGATGAAAAGACAAAAAGTCCAAAATTTGGACACAAGCCAGAAGAAAGGAAAGGGCAAAACATTGATTTCTACAATACATTAACGTAGGCCAATACTTAGGCATAACAAATATCCACCCGACGACATGAGCCGCTACTCCAATCATTCCAAATAACAATACGGCCATCTTTATCCACCCTAGACCTGACTTATCACTAGGGTTTGTTAATTCAAAGAGCAAAAGCCCACTTAAAGAAATTAGAAGCATCCACTCATACCATCTCGGAACTAAACTTTCCCTAAATATTGAATTATTGATTGGTGTTATAGCCACTAATGACAATAATATCATAAGGTAAATATGAGCCGTTAAATACGACATAAACTTAATTATTGGAATCTTATTATATTTATGACCTAGCGGAAGAGAAAACACCACCCAAACTGGTGGACATATTATAAATGCGACAAAAAGGAACATAATTTTGATGCCATTCCACTTGAGGCTCCCTCTCCAGAGTTCCTGAAAGAAATCAATTGCTATAAATATCACAATGGACACTTAATAGGTAGGATTACATTAGTAGACGAAGTTACCTATTTTTTACCTGAAGATATCTTTGGACGACTGTATGTGCAATGACTTCTTTTTGCTCATTTTCTATCAATACATCTAAAAATTCGATATTTCTATTATCCGTAGCAGTAAGTATATGACCAGCTGAATCAGCACCAGCGGCTAATGCTAATAGTTCTGTGGCCATTGCTTCACACTGTTTACCAGCTGCTATAAGATCTTTGGCACGCTCCTTTTCCTGATCGAATATTATTGATTAGTTATTAAATGCCAAAAATTTAATTAAGAAAAATATTAACAAATATTATGTACCTTAGTAGATAAATTGATATAAAGGTTTGATAACTTAGCAGCTGTGTCTACAGGTGCTGGTGATACCAAAACAAATTCTTCTATTGGAATATTGTTGTGATTTTTCGAACACACCATAAGATTATAAATAAATCTTTTATCATCCATAAGAGATTGTGTATCATGTTCTTTATGTAAAAGATATTCAAGAACATCATTATGATTTTCAGAAGCAGCAAACCAGATTGGGGCGCAATTTAAATTGGTTTCACTTTTAGGCGAAGCACCTGATTCGCATAGTAACTTTACTACATTTAAATATCCAGCTTTGGCCGCACAGTGTAATGGAGTCCAACCATTTTTATCTGTGGCGTTAATTTCTGCACCTTGGCCTAATAAAACTTCAACCATTTGATAATGGCCATACGTCGAAGCTATGTGTAGTCCTGTTTTTCCGTGTCTATCTACGCTATGTAGTAATTCTGCAGATCGACTTAATAAGAGACCTACAATGGACATATGTCCACCAAAACAGGCTAAATGTAAAGGATTATATCCCTAAAAATTTCAAAATGTTATTTTTTCATAATATAATAAAAAATACCAAATAAGAAGTTTGACAAACTAACTAAAACGTAACTCACGTTTTCGTTAGTAGATGCATCTACTTGGACACCCGGAGAATTAAGAAGTAACCTCACAACATTTTCATTTCCATTATATGCAGCGAGATGTAGAGGTGTAAGACCAGATTCGGCACCTAGTACTGGGACTAAGGACATCCCTGTAGGTGGATCTGACTTTGCCGTTCCAGGAACTTGTGAAAGAAGCTCTCGGACAGTTTCTGAAATAATCACATTTTTTAATTTTTATGTTTTTCACTTTAATAATAATCACAATACGAGTAAAATTTAAAAAGTAATTTACCGGCTTGACCATAATATGCTGCTATATGAAGAGGGGTTAGCCCCAACTTTTTACTGGATATCCTTAAAGTATTTGTTGATCTCATGACATCTAGAACATTTGTATGACCATGTTCTGCTGCTAAGTGGACTGCTGTTAATCCTGCTCTGTTTTCATCAGTACACGAGGCCCCAGCTCTGACAAGAACTCTCACAACATCTGCGTGACCACCCTCAGCAGCCAATTGTAAAGGAGTAGAATCGTTTAATTTATTTCGAGCTGATATAACACCAGTCCTATCAAATTTCATTAATTCTTCGATTACTTTAACTGAACCCTGGATAGCTGCTATATGAGCGCAAGTGTTTCCATCCTTTGTAGTTGCCATAACTAAGTTAGGATGTTGCTGAAGAAATAACTGAACCACTTCAGAGTAGTTATTCTGCGCAGCAGCGTGAATTGGTTTTTGGCCTAGTTCATCTGTAGCGTCTATATTAGCTCCTAATTCTAGTAACAATTTACAAACTTCTATTTGCCCACTAGCAGCGGCTAAATGTAACGGTGTTTGCTTTTTTAAAGTAAGAACATCAATTAATGCATTATGATCACGTATAAGAAACTTCACTAAATGTGTATATCCATTCATGGCAGCTAAATGAAGAGCAGTTCTACCATTTCTAGCTTTAGAGTTTATAAATGCTTTATTTGTTAGCAAAGCATCACATACTTGCAAAAAACCACGTTCAGCGGCTAGATGTAGTGCCGATCTGCCTTCAACGTCAAAAACATCTACCCTAGCATGATTTGTAAGTAAATTATTTACAAGTTCCATATGTCCTCTATGACACGCTATTAAAAGAGGTGTCCAACCAATAGAGTTTTGCTTATTGAGAGCTTTACTGACGTCAGCAGTTGACATATCAGAAATCATTTCAGTCATAACGTCATTGTTTCCAGCGATAGCACAGAAATGAAATACTGTTTCATGGTTATGTTTAGTTACTAGAGATACATCTGCGCCATTTTCCATTAAGCACTTCACAACTTCTCTATCCGCTCCGGGCATTGTTACCTCTTCTTTTGTAATTTTACATGCAAAATGTAATGCACTCGCGCCATCTTCATCAACGGAATCTATGTACGCCGTTGCAAGATTCTCGCCCTTCTTTTCTTTAACGAACTCTATTAAATGGCGTACTATATCTGGTTTGCAACTTCTACATGCCATATGAAGTGGCGTTTCCCCAGTCTGCAAAAAAAATAGATAGAATATGTTCTATAGTTATAACCTAGAAGGCAGAATTTATCTGTTATTCAAGTAATAATAATCTTTTGGCAAGGAACAGGTGGTTATTTAAATAATTTACATACCCATTATAAAATATTACCCATTATATAATATTCAGACTATTTACATGCAGTATTGTTATGGAGTATTGTTGTTATAAGGAATGAATTAATTAAAAATATTTACGTATAGGAATAGGAATTCATAAGAGCAGACGAAGATTATATGAACTTTCCCATGAAAGATCATATAATCTTTCCGATACTTTTAGAGAATGTGTCAAAAAATATTCTAAAACGTTTAAAAGAGTGTGCTCCACAGCCAAATATTATTAACAAAACATTAAGGTTGCTAAAGATAAAATTAAAATAACGTGAAGTACAATTAAATAGCGAAACCGGTAAAGAGAAACCTCGAAATACAAACTATCACTTGAAAATTAATAATGTATTGACTAGATCAAATCAAGAAGTCGCAGCGGTGTTTGAGAAATATTTCACTGATATTTCCATTTTAAAACAGAGTCTTTGAATACTCGTCCAACTGTTGCCGAATCAATACACAAACACAATGTCAATGTTACCTGTTTAAAAGAATTTAGAATTCATAATGTATTACCACAAGATATTGTAAAATATTTCAAAATCCTTGATGTAAAGAAAACTGCAGTTTTATGGGAGATTTCCCTTACAGTTATTGCGTTCATAATAGATTTAATTGCACCTCATCTTGCTATTATTTTTAATACTACTGTCAAATATGGTGTTTTTCTGATTTAATGAAACGTAGTAAGAAAATGTATTACCACAAGATATTGTAAAATATTTCAAAACCCTTGATGTAAAGAAAACCGCAGATTTGTGGGGGATTTCCGCTACAGTTATTACGTCCATAATAGATTTTTAATACTAGTCTGCAATCTGGTGTTTTCCTGATTTAATAAGACGTAGTAAAGTAATACCTTTATTTAAATCTGTTAGTACATTAAACCCCAAAATTTTAGACCTAATTCTGTACTAACAACTTAAAATTTTTGTGAATGTGTTTAAAAAAGTCCCACTAGGTTTCTTGCTAGTTCTTCCCAGGACAAAGATATTTTCAAAACCAGTGGTAAATTAAAAAATGACTTTCAATAAGTATTATGTAATAATCTATATTGAACAAAAATCATTCTATTCTATTCTATTCTATAAAAAAGGTAATTGATAGTAGATAAAACTAAACTTTCGTTTCTAATTAAAATCAAATAATACAAACTAAAACCTTAGTTTTTCTGAGAGGATCTCCTCCATCTTCGAGAAGGAGTAGCAATGTTGCCAAATTGCCATATTTCGCTGCTACATGTACAGGGGTCATACCATCTTCAGTGGCTTTGTTTGGCCCAGCACCAGATTTCAGGAGCATGATTGCACATTTATCCCCTATAAATAAATTCAAATAAATGAAAGTTTTAAAAAGTTAAGAGCAATATTTAAATTACTTTGCTAATTAGTTACTCTACCAACGCGGAAATCAGATGTGGAGGATCATACACCTTCCTATTGGACCTTCTACTGAACTCTCGACCGAACGGATATCAGGTCTCCGTCGATGCCTATCTTGGTTATTTGGATCATGGTCTGATCCTGAGTGCACGGCCACTCACACTCCCATCGCGGTTGCGTTCTACAGGTTGCCGTCGAGTTAAGCACTATAGGTTCAATGCATCCTACCCTTACAGAAAGCTTGAGAAGCAAACCCGCTCTGGTTTGCTTCTCGCCGGATGATACAAACGTTGTTATTGATTCTGTCGCTGATGAGGTGCTTCAGGGAACGGATATTTTTATTCCATCATCTGTGGTACCTATCGGAGGAAGAACTTAGTCATGGTTTGGTCACTCCTGTAAAATTACACGCCATAAGCAGAAGTGCTACCTGGCTTGGGCTGACACATCAAAGTCGGGATGCAAGCGACAATGCTCTTAAAAATAAGTATAATTTCGATTTCATGTTCTTCAATAGTGTCATTGCCAAGGCAAAGTCAGAGCACATTCGCAGAATTGGTGAGAAACTGGTTCAGATTCCTTCAGGAACACGTGCACTCTGTTCTCTCGCCAAGGCTGTCGAAGGGAAATTCTGTCAGTCATCTCTGCCATCTGTGCACAGGGAGGAGACTCACTGGTCCATGCTGCTAAGGGGAAAGTCTATCTGCTATGCCCTCTCTATGAGTCTAACTCGACTATCGATGACAGGAGAACACACCACCGACAATCGGGTGGTGTGAGTATTCCATGGAGGGTGTCCTATTTACACATACTCGGTCCGAAAAGCACTCCTCTCCATGGACGTCAACAAGACGAGTGAGCCTGATGGAGTCCCACCTATTGTACTGAAGTCGTATGCTCCGGAGTTGGCACTGGTTTAACGCGTCTTTTAAGGTACTCGTACCCCCTAGGCATAGTTCCGAACTCATAGAAGACAGCTTTGTTGCACCCGACCCCTAAAAAAGGTGACCGCTCATATTCATCAAACTACAGGCCTATCACTATTACCTCGTTGTTCTCCAAAATAATAAAAACAATTATTAACTGCCAGCTCATAAGGTAACTTAAGGATCATAGGCTAATGAGTGACCGCCAGTACGCTTTCCGTCAGCATTGCTCAGCTGGTGATCTTCTGGGTTACCTAGCTCTAGGCAGTACAGTCCAAGTGTCCAAAATAGCGAAGGTCTTCGACCGGGTTTGGCACAAAGCGCTTCTTTCAAACCTTCCTGCTTATGATTTTCCCGAGAAATTGTGTAATTGAAACACAATTTTTTTGCAGATCGAAGTATCAAGTTCGTAGTACATGCTACGATTAGAAACCTATACCAATGCTGTTTCTTCTGTCTATCACTAATATGTTGCACACCGTTAACATTAATTGCGAACTATGCGAACGACAGTATTAGTGATGCTTTATACACCGGCTGTGCCAATATTTCTCGGGTAAACGTCGTCGAGTACAGGAACAAACTTGTATCTGAACTTGTTGAACAGTCTCGGACTGGGGGGCGACTAAATCTAGTCTAGTTTAATCCCCAGAAGACACAGATTTGCCCCTCAGTTTCAAGGCCCTCCCTTTGTTGCCTCAGCCAGTATCGGAATCCTCGACGTCGACATACCCCCGATTCAAGCCGGCCCTTACGTGCAACAGCTAAAGCTGCCGCTTCACCATTGTTGAAATATAGAGATATCATAGTAAACTGTTTGCTTGTTTGTTACCTTTACTTGTATAAAGTCAAGATCTGTGGGGGATTTCCGTTAAAGTTATTGCGTCTATAATAGATATAATCGCATCTCAACTATCTATTATTTTTAATACTAGTATCGAATCTGGTGTGTTTCCTGATTTAATGAAGCATAGTAAAGTAATAATACCTTTATTTAAATCTGGTAGTACATTGGACCCCGCTAATTTTAGACCTGTTTCTGTACTGCCAACACTTAGTAAAATTTTTGAAAAAAATATTCTTGATCAAATGTAAAAAAAATTTAATGTAAATAATTTACTTCACAAGGTTTCACAAGAGGTCGCTCGACAACTGATGCTGGTGTTGAGCTGATTAAATATATATTTAATGCATGGGAGAATTCACAGGATGCTTTGGGTGTGTTCTGTGACTTATCCAAAGCCTTCGATTGTGTTCACCGTGAAACATTAATCAGGAAACTTCAACACTACGGTGTAAGAAGCGATGCTCTTAAATTAATTATTTCATATTTAAGTGACAGAACGTAAAAATTGTCATCAATAGTATGAGATCTTCCGGGTCGATTGTACAAATGGGCGTGCCTCAGGGCTCAATTCTCGGCCCCTTTCTGTTTCTTGTATATATTAATGATTTACCTTACATAGAAGGGGATAAACATGATATAGTATTATTTGCTGATGATACTTCATTAATTTTCAAATTAAAACAACAGTTATTAAATTACGACGAAGTAAATAATGCTATAGCTATGTTAGTCAATTGGTTTAATGTTAATAATTTGCATTTGAATGGAACTAAAACTAAATGTATGAAATTCGTCACTCCTTATGTTAAATATGTCAATACTAATGTAATTTTAAATGGGGAGGAACTGAGTCTTGTTGATACCACCATTTTTCTTGGAATCACACTGGACGCAAAGCTTCAATGGCTCCCCCATATATCAAAACTAGCTAGCAAACTTAGTTCTGCAGCATATGCTGTAAAAAAGATTAGAACTCTTACCAGTGTTGAAACAGCTAGAATAGTTTACTTTAGTTATTTCTATAGCATTATGTCGTATGGTGTTTTGCTATGGGGACACGCGACTGACACTGAAATTATATTTATTTTGCAGAAGAGGGCCATTAGAGCAATATATAATTTAAAACCAAAAGACTCACTGAGACAAAAATTTAAGGAAATCAATATATTAACTCTGGCCTCTCAATACATTTATGAATATATAATGTACGTACACAAAAATAAAAGTAGTTTTGCGAAAATAAGTGATATTCTTCTGTAAATATTAGGAGCAGACACAAGCTAGTAGTACCAGTTACTCGACTCCACCGAGCTAGTAATTCATTCTTGGGGCGATGCATACGCTTTTACAACAAAATCCCAGAAAATATACAAAATTTGTCATACATAAAGTTCAAAAATGTTATTAAACTAAGTTTGTATAAAAAGGGTCATTATAATATTAAGGAATTTATGGATGATAATAACCCCTAGGAAGGGTAATCGCTACCAAGCTATTTCTTATTTGACTTGTGTTGTTAATTGTGAACATGATTGTAAGCTATTATTGGAAAAAAATAGTCCCGCTGGGTTTCTTGCTGGTTCTTCCCAGGACCGAGGTTTTTTTTGCGAACTAGTGGAAAATGAAAAAAGTGACTTTCAATAAGTATTGTTATAAACTACATTGAATAAAAAAGTTTCTGTTTCTGTTTCTATAGGCTGCGAATTTTTTAAACGGGAGCCCGGCGACAAATCACTCTATACCTAATTAAGCCGGTAATGGTATTTTCAGCGTCGACATATCGAATGATGTGCAGTTTCGTGTTCACTTGAAAGAGAAGGCCAAATTGGTCTCTAAAAAGCTTTATGTGCTCAGCAGAGCGGGACAGTATTGTATGCTGGCATACTACCTGTAACTTTACAAAGCGCAGGTTTGTTCTGACGTGTAATACTGTTCCCATCTCTAGGCTAGGTCTTCCCAGTGCCAGCTCCTTCCAATTGATCGCATCCAGCGCAGAGCGGTTTGAATCGTCGGTGACCGAGCTCTTTCTGATCGGGTTAACTCACTGGACCATCGGCAACGCATTTGCAATTCCCCTGGTGTTGCAGTTGTTCATGGGCGGCAGTAGTCACTTACCATCAAGTGAGACACATGCTCGTTTGACCTCTCTCTTGTAAAAAAAATTATCGTGTAGTGAATCGGAATAAATATATCCACTACTCATTCGGTGGGTGTCGTTAAAGCGACAGAGGTAAACGAACCAGGAGATAGGCAGCAGTGTCTTCTTAATAACAAACAATAAGTAATGTTACGAGCTTAGGGTTCATGACAGTAAAAACTGCCGATTGAATTACCAAAATTGACACTTTAATTGCCGTACACCAAATAAAACTTAAATCACACTACTAACTAATACTTAACACTTTAGTTCACTTTATTTCGCTCCGAAGCTTCGCTTTTATCGCCAATACAATACTGCCCCGATCGCGGCTTGCAGCGGCTTTAAATACACCTTTTCCACCGAAACATCCAGAACGTTACAGCAAATACCGGTCCTGACCGACTAAGTGTGGAATGTTCGAGCGTGGACTTTTTTAGAAAGCTTAATTCTTCTACCCGCCACTAGATGGCGCTGTTGGGAGAGTTCGGGAAAGATATCGACACTCCTATTTCTAATACATGATACCAGATGGCGCTAGTGCCATCCACTGTGGAGCGCAACAGTAACAAACTGCGTTTTCCAACCGCCCTGCTAAGCATGCCAACTATGGCAAATATAATGCCCTAATGGGCAATCTGTGAGGAAGGCCTATGTCCACACGTGAACTTTGATAGGCTTATCTTTACAGATTGATGTGAAAACTAAAATTAAATAACATTGTTTACAAATTAGACATACCATCAGGTATCCTTGCAGCAATGTGCAAAGGTGTCTCTCGCTGTTTACCTCCTCTTATGTGAACATCTGCTCCATATCCCAAAAGAGTTTCTACAACTGCTGGCTTACATGATTCTACTGCAACATGAAGTGCTGTGTAGTTGTCCTGAATAAGAAACCGAAAATATGTTTTAGACCATCTTTGTTCCTCATTAACGTGACGTAAGACGTAATCAATACTTTCAGCAAAGTTATGCCTTAGGCCGTATTAAAATGGAAATTTTACATCATTAGAATAGTCGATTTTGTGATTTTAATTACAGTTTATTGTCTAGTTATTATTTAGTGGTCTAGTAGCCATAAACCCGAGGTCCAGGGTTCAAATTAAAGGTCGGGCTAAATATCAGATCAGTTCATCAGTTAAGAAATTCAAATTAAAGGTCGGGCCAAATATCAGATCAGTTCATCAGTTAAGAAATTCTGAGTGGCAGTCCGGAGTCAGGAAGTTGGCAGTGTTTTAACCTTGTGCCTTGGAAACCACATAAAACCGTTGGTCCTACGCCTGATCTCTCTACGGTTGTATCAGATTGCCTTCCCTTTGGACTATGAAAGTGAGGGAATAGAGAGTATGTTTGCGTACACTCTTATGCACTATAATCCCGTTCTGCGCGGTTGATTAGTCTGTTAGACATTATAATATGCGAAGTCTGACATTAAACCTATAACAAAATTAGGCGTTACTTTGCAAAAATAGAACAATTTATCTTGATAAAGAAAAAACCGATGAACAATAAACGGACAGTATGTTGACGCTGTACCGGCGTGAGAAAATCCACTACCCGATACCATCCCGTGGGTGTCATAAGACGCGACAGACGGAAATGAAATGGAAAATGCATTTTCTCAAATAGAAAAACTGTGGAGGTATATGTTCAGCAGTGTACTTTGATATTATGTAATGAAATAACTGGTTGTATCTCTCAAGGTCACAAAGCGAGCTTTGGGAAGACCTACGCTCGAAGTTTCTCGCGAAGTCGCGTCTTATTAATGAACCGTAAATACGGAGTAAGCGACACAGCGAAACGAATCAGTAACCTGAAGTGGCAATGGACGGGCCATATAGCTCGAAGAACCGACAACCGATGGAAAAGAAAGGTTCTCAAATGGCAGTCTCGTACAAGTAAGCGAAATAGTCCCTTCTAGGAGTGACGACCAGGTAAAGGATGCAGGTAATTGATTAATGCAGGTGGCTCAGGACCGTTTTTTGTGGCATTCATTTAATGAGGCATATGTTCAACTTGAGATGGACTCATGATGGGCTGTAATGATGACGACAATAACGATGATGATGATAAATGAATGAGTGAATAAAATGTTGAGATCAATCACGGAAAGTGTTTCTCAACATTGTCGTTTTGAATTATATAATAAAACAAAAATAGTTTCTAATTAGTTAATCAGTGCTTACATTCGTAGTAACATCCACACTCTCCCCTTTTTGAAGCAATGTGTTGATGATTCCAACGTGGCCGTACCGCGCTGCCGTATGTATGCTGCGTGCTCCATCCTGAAATAAATAAAAAATAATATGACATTAAGGCCTCACAAAAGTTCTGTTACTAATAAATATTTTTCATTACTTAAATGACAAATGAACTTCTAGTTCACGTGATGGTATATGGCTACTGGAGTCTAGGGACAGCCAATTTCAAACAAAAAAGGGTTAAGATGCGTTGTCACCTCAAAGGACTAAGATGGAATGCCTTACAGCCCGTAAAAATCCTAGCTATCTATTCCCAGAGCAGAACATAGCGGTGCAAGTATTTATGTTTGATTGCAGTAATAGTTAAGAGGGTGATACAGTCCGTATAGATAAAGAATGGGATTAGTAATGTTGAATCATAGAGCCCGTACCGTCAAAATGCACAGAAACTATAGCGAAAACTCGCTAAAAACGGTATAACGTTATATTATTCGGTTTCATGGAATTTTTTTATAAATGGTAAACATTTTAAAATAATTGTACAATTATGATAAATTATTATCTTAAGCTCGTTAAATCATTTATTTTACCTTATCAATATTTCTATTTTAGAAGTATCTAAATTTTACGGATAAAATTTAGTCTAGATCACTCCTGATATTACTCACTTTTTGTTAGTGAAGTTTTATACAAATTACAGCCAAAAGAATATTTTTAAAATGGTAACTCAGGTTTCAATAGCTTGTAAAGGTTATATTTAAAAATATTAACAAACAAAATTAACAATAATTATGATGAAAACTATCAAAAAGCCTCGCAGCTCACAAATTAACGAAACCGGATGAATTTTTTTTTTGTAGTTTATGGCATTTTGTTATCATTGATTCCAATGAAAAGTTGAATTGAAGTTATATAATGTACAGAAAACGCATATGGCAACGTATTTTTTTGCAGTTTACCGGCGGGTGTGAGTACAAATAGCGAAAAAATACGAGCGAGAGAAGAATAGAGGTGACGCCATTTTCACTCCCATTCATTAACCGTACGGGTAGTATCCATACGGACTTCTAGACAGTAAAGGAGTCCTATCACCTAGTAAAATTACAGTTTAGTAGTAAAATTATAGCAGTTATGTTTCATATATAACATATTTATAAACAATTACCAATTTCAATTATGCGTAAGCAAAATGTGTAATTTTGCATACGAATAATTGAAATTGGTAATAGTTTGACATTTGCTATTAATCGGACAATTTGTTTCTATTTAAATATTAGTATGCCAATTAATAGTAGATCATAGAGGACACAATAAGCAATTGTTAACATCTTTTTAATATATTACTTGTGGTCAACAAATAAACGTATTATTATTCTTATATATTCTAAACAGTTAAAAATAGTTAGTAAACGAAAATGATTTAATATACGAATTAAAACTTTTAACTTAGTTATTAAGGTTAATTAAAAACTCATAATAATAACAAAAAAATATAAGGTAAAAGGAAAACGTTTATTATATTTTGCTTTTCAGTTTTTTCGGCGTTTTAATTTTTTTGCTAAAAAGTTTTATTTTATAATTTTTTGTGGCTATAATCTACTAATTACTACATGCTTAATTTTTGATAACTTTTAACATAGCTACTTGCCTTACATTAGCTATTAACTGTTATATAATTCTACTTTAACTATTATTTGTTTAAAGCTGTAATCAACCTCGGAAAGAAAGTGTTTGCCAAAGGGCAGGCATATGTGGCACTGATTAGAGTAAAATCACTTGAGGGGTATTGCTTTATTTGATTTAGTGCCAAATAAGGTATTACACAAACCTCACGAAGAACGAACATTATCAGAAATGCAGAGACTGAAAGGTCTACACACAAGATACTGATAGGTCTAAAGCTCATTCGCTCATCGTGAGTTTTTTTGTCATATAGTGTAATTATTACGTAATTTTGTAATACACATCTCAGCATCAAAATCTGTGAGTAAACAATAAATAATTATTATATTATATTTTCCCATCCTTAGGGTAATTTTTTTCCGAATTTATATGAGATAAATTTCGAGGTATATCCCTATCCAATAAAAAAGAATACCACCATAGCCCAACCCTATATATACCGTATCCAATAAATAAAGAATTATCAAAATCAGATTACTCTCTAATAAATCACCCCTATTTTCCCCTCTTTAGATAAATATTTTTTCCAAATTTATATGGGACCAATTTCAAGGTATACCCTATCCAGTAAAAAAAGAAATATCAAAATCGGACTACTCTGTATTAAATCACCCCTATTTTCTCACCTTAGGGTAAGAATTTTTTTCAAATTTATATGGGGCCAATATCGAGGTATACCCTATCCAATAAAAAAAGATTTTTTAAAATCGGACTACTCTGTAAAAAGTTATGCGTGGTTCAAGAAAAATATACGCGTCGACTTGAGTACCTCCTCCGTTTTTTCGTCGGTTGAAAAAATTTACTTATACATACTTAGAAATTTAAAAAAACCTAACATTTTTAGATTTTTTAACCAGTTAGTTCAAGTATATGGAGCTTCCTGTAATTTGAAATGTTAAAATGAATTTTTTGCATGCTATAGCGGTCATTGTTAGTCATGGTAGCTCAGATGGTTAGCGCTCGCTGTAAATTTCACAGTATGCGAGCAACCCGGGTTCGAGCCCCCCCCCCCCCCCGGCAGTATGAAATTGTTAATTGCAATTTTAAGTGCTGATTTACCACGTGCTCGGTGGTGAAGGAAAACATAGTGAGGAAACCTGCATATCTGAAAAAAAAATATTTCGAAAATATGTGAAGTTCGCCAACAGGCATTAGGGCAGCGCGCCGGACACTTTCTTACCCTAAAATCCGCTCAGAAATGAGAGGAGGCCTGAGCCCAGCAGTGGGACGTACATATATACGCTGTAACTTTAACTTTAACTTTTATAGCAGTCATTCTATTCTATTATTTACGAGTATCTATTAGCTCAGCTAAAGTGAAATACTATAATAATACACTCATTTGGTGCTTAAATAAAATAAAGCGACAGTAGCCTAATGGCAGGGCGCGGACCGCGAACTCAAAAAGGTCGTGGGTTCGAATCCGCCATTCGACTACTGGCGTGAACCACTCGTAACACGAGCAATTTAAGCTTACCACGAGTGGTTAAGGGGAATATTAGTAATGTTTATAGCATTGTTAATATTCTTTTTTTTTAAATACCAGGATACCACAGACTCGAGCAAATACAGCCCCATCATGGTTGGGGCAATGGTCGTGGTACAAAGGAACCACTCTTCATTGACGCGGTCATTGACAAGGTAGTTAAACGCAACCGTCGGAAATTCTCTGCCGCCTGGATAGGCTACAGAAAGGCATTCGACTCGCTAGCGAGCGACTAGGCTGTACAAGGCTGACTGTATAATTAGAGACTTCTTCGGGCAATGTGTGAGGCAGTGGAGTACGATCCTTTGTCATCTAGCCGAGTGGATGACGGTTGCGGAGGACCACATAAGGGTAAGAAGAGGTATCTTCCAGGGCGATCGTTTAAGTCCAATTTGGTTTTGCCTCTCTCTGAACCCTCGTCATATTCGGAAAGGAGGTACAAAAGTGACCCACCTTTTCTATATGGATGATCTCAAATTATTCGCCTCCAGTCGCTCCATTCTTATAGAATTGATAAACATCACTTGTGATTTTAGCAATTCTATTAGAATGGAGCTGGGGTAGGATAAGTGTACGGTCCTCCATGTTGAGAGAAATACGATAGTTAACTCTGAGGGCATAGACTTGCTATGCCCATAAACTTGAGGACCCTTTCCAAGGCTGAAACATACCGATACCTGGGTATGTCACAAAATATAAGTATTGATGAGGCGGTCATGAAACAATCAGTTTGCGATTTGTTTTACGCACGCTTGACCGAAGTGCTTAACAGCTTTTGGTCGGGCGTGAATAAGACACAGGCATATAACAGTTGGATCATGCCTGCCCTTATGTATACTTTTGGCATACTCAGGGGGACTCAGACCGAACTGAACTCTCTGGATGTAAACGTTCGCACTGTTATGACGTCCCATAGGATGCACCATCCGAGATCGTCCGTAATGAGGCTGTACTTACCGCGGAAGCATGGTGGACGTGGCTTTTTAAGCGCGCTCACCTTGCATAATCGCGAAGTGTGCAGCCTCCGTAATTACTTTCTGACGTGATCGAATTATCCATTCTATAAGAACGTATTTTATTATGATAAAGGGCTTACTCCTCTACCCTTAGCCAACGGGCAATGGCAAGACAAGGCAGTACAGAGCATTTTCGACCGTGATACCGTATGGAAGAAGAAGGACCTCTATGGAAGGTTCTACAAGGCTCTAAATGAGCTTTTCGTAGACACGGCCGCCTCCCTACACTCGCTACGCTTCGGTGACCTCTTTGGGAAAACCGAGGGTTTTGTCTGTGCGATGCAGGATCAGCTTCTAAGACCAACAACTATCGGAGATACATCCTAAAGGATGGCGCCATCGACACCTGTCGAGCTTGTCGCCATCCCGGTGAATCACTTAGGCATGTTTTCTCCGGTTATTCGGCTCTTTCTAACTCTGAGTGAGCACAGACACAATCTAGTAGCCAGGATTCTACCAGGAACTTGCTCTGAAATACGGTCTCGTAGATGGGACATTACCTTATTATAAGTACAGGGTGGAAGCCGTGCTCGAAAATGACCGCGCCAGGCTCTACAGGGCCCGGGCCATCATAACATACAGGATTATTCTAGCGAATAAGCTTGATATTGTGCTGATGGTGATGTGCGTGGAACAGGCACTGTCAAGGATATTTTTGATCGACATTACCGTTCTATATGACGAGAATTTCGTCAAAATCGAAACAGATAAGAAAAGAAAATATCTAGACCTGGCTCACGAGGTGACCTGCGGGGTTGCCTGTCGACCGAAACTATTCCTGTAGTCATCTCTGCGAACGGGCTAATCCCGGACAGCCTCTCGGGTTATTTGAGGCGACTGGGACTCTGTGACGGACCACTTCGGGCTAAAATGCAGAGGGCAGTGCTCTTCGATACCGCCCGCTTTGTCTGCCGGTTTCTTTCACTTTCTTCCTAACCCTCGGCCGTTTGGTCTCCCCTGCCGAGGGCTGCCATGTGGCTGGGCTTTTATTTATTTATGTATTATTTATGTTAGTATATTTAATATATATATTTATGTATATTTATTTATTATATCAATTTATATATTTATTTAGCAAAAACAGATGAGAATACTTTATAAATACCCCAAATAAAATTTATAATCTTTACTTTTCTTTACAAAATTACAGTTTAAAACATCATTACATCTTTGGATTAATCTAACCTAATATTCTGACATTATCTGTAGGACTAGATTAACACCTATTCTGCTCTCCTGTCCGGCGAGCAGAATGACGAATGGCTCTGGCAGGAGCGCAGGTCATGTTGATTCCCAAGGCAAGTCTGAGGCGTTCTTTCTTCACGTGATTGCCGCCTGTTATTTGGTCTACTTTAATAGGACACAGACAGAACAGAAACACTCAGACAATCCTCTTTTTCTTTTCTTTTATCCTACCCCCTTTTTCCTATCCTAACCCAAACCAAGGTGTCAAGCGTACTGTACCGATGAATACTTGGCTGGGGGGCAGTCCAGTCGCAAACGGTGCCTACATGAGACCAGGGCGATTCGGGTAGTATTTTAGCCCTTCCCGCAGCATGCGAGGGTGACTGAATATTTTCCTAGGTAATCGTGGAACCAGAATGGATGAAAATCGACATTTTGCGAACAATTATGAAAAATCTCCTTTAATAGAACTATCTGCAAGTTCGGAAGAGGCTGTTTTAGCCTCACCAATACCCTGCAATACTACACCCCAACCTGGGACGATCCATGAAACGGAGGGCACGTCTGCAGCCCAACTACAACCGGAAACGAACCAGGGAGGGGAAAAGAAAAAGTTCACTAGGCCTTATAAGCTTAGTGGGGCAGCAAAGAAGAGGTACGTGTTGTACGAGGTGCGTGTGCGTGTGCGTGTACATGTGCGTGTGCATGTACGTGTGCGTGCGCGTGCGCGTGAGCGTGCGTGCGTGCGTGCGTGCGTGCGTGCGTGCGTGCGTGCGTGCGTGCGTGCGTGCGTGCGTGCGTGCGTGCGTGCGTGCGTGCGTGCGTGCGTGCGTGCGTGCATGCGTGCGTGCGTGCGTGCGTGCGTGCGTGCGTGTGTGCGTGCGTGCGTGCGTGCGTGTGTGCGTGCGTGCGTGTGTGCGTGCGTGTGTGTGTGTGTGTGTGTGTGTGTGTGTGTGTGTGTGTGTGTGTTTAGGGCGATCACATTGTTTTGATAAGAGCCTCACTATTATCATAGTTTTTAGTCAGTAACCATGTTTTTAAAGTCAACTTACAGTTTGCTCTTGTTAAATAATATACTCATTTTACGGTCTACTCTGTTATATAATAACGGTGCAACATAAGAAAAAACTTTTTTGACAATGTCTTTCTCCTTAAACGTAGTGTCGAAGGGTCATAAGCAATATTAGAATGTTGTTTTAAAACAGTGTATAATATAAAGAGTTGACAAACTGTTAGTACATTCTATTCCTTGTATAAATCCCTAGCTGGGTAAAGGAAATGGTGAAACTTCCAACCTATAGGATGACTCTTTGGGCCACCTCCAGAGACATTACATAGGATTTAGCTGTACCTCCCCATACAGAAACAGTATGTGAATATGGATTGACAAAGGACGAAATATTTGACGCGTATAATTTTTTATTAATCAACCTGACGAAGTATTCTGAAAACGTATATGAGCTTACGTGCACGAGTCATAAGTTGCTCAATACGAGGCCTAAAAGATAAGTTCTGGCCAATGATTGTGTCCAGTTATCTGATTTTGGTAACAGTTTCTAGTCCGGTACAACTATATGTACTCGTATTTATCAGATTGCAGGTGCGAGCTATAAGCGAAAGGTTTTTATCTAAGGGGAGAGAGACATTACGGATGGCAAATGTAACTAATTTAGTTTTCTCAATATTAATCTTGAGTAAGTTCACATTTTGCACTTAAGAACTCCATTTAATCCAGATTGTGCATAAGCAAACGTATCGCCGATGTAGGTGGTTTGATATTTATTTTATGTTTTGCATGTGGGGAAAAATATAAAGTCAATCTCAGATTAACATAAGACTTTTATGAACGCTTTCCAAATCATGCATTATTACATTGCGCAGCCGGTACAATAGACAGCAAAGAAATTATAGTATAGGGATTTATATGTAATAAAAATCTGAGGATAGTAATATAAAGAGGGAAAAGAAGTTTACTATCAACAATATATTGCTAAACAATATTTCATAAGAATTTTATGGATTTTTTAAATGCAAAATAAAGTTGTGTACTAAATGCAATTTAATTTATAACAGTTAAAAATATTTTACGTCTTTGTGGTTATTTTATTACCATACCTTATTGGGCATATGAAGATAAACTCCTTTCTTGAAGAGCATCATTGCACAGTCTGCGTGGCCATTCAAAGAAGCAATATGCATCAAAGTGCTGCCATCTTTTGTTCTTTCAAAGATTGACGCTTTAAATTTGTCAGCCAAAAGCTCAATGATTGCAGCATGACCATTTTCGGCGGCCAAGTGCAGCGGGGTTCGATCTGTTCAAGAAATTTTATATATCAGAAATGTATTTCAAAACATGAAACTATGCTAGAAGTCGAATACAGAGAGCCGAAATAGAGACGACATTTGCCGTAACTTACAAAATTGTGTTTGCAACAAAATTAATTATAAATAATCAATATATTGTTTAATTAGAATACTTAATTGTATTTTATATTATTATCAATATGAAATACAACTAAGTTGATGATATAAAAAGTATATTATCAATATAATATTATGTATAACATTCATTAACTTAACATATGAGCAAGATTAAAATATAAGTACAATATTTATTACCATAATAAAAAAAAACTAAAACTCAAAACTTAAATTATCATACAGTTCTACTGTTCGCAGTATAGTGTTAAGAACGCTTTTTTACAGGATTTTCTCCTTCATCGTGGAAGCAGTTTACAAACATAAATTTTACTAGAAAAATCATCTATATCCGGAACAATTATTTGTAGATCACACAAATTAGAACTTGTTTCGTGCATATTTGAAACGTTGGTTGTGTTTCCTTGCTGAATTTATGAAGTCTTTGAGTGAAAAAAACCAACCCTCTTAGCACGCGACGACCAGTCAATAAGAGAATTTCTTTAGGAAGCTCACTACACGTGGACCCCACAAACCGATGGTCTTTAAGGCAAATCGCAGGAACAAATTTCAGGAAGTCATACTTAAGCCAATTACTGAAATGAGCCTACTAATTTATTCAATATATACCATACTGAATATTGAAGTAAGTCTATTAATTTATGAGACATATACCGTAAAGTATAAGGAATAGTTACTTATCTTCACGCACAATCCCTAACGGGGTAGCCAGAGAGAACAGATCGCCAAGTGTCACGATCCTTACATACCTCTTTCGCTTCTTTCATGTTCATTAACTTCTTCATACATAAGGAATAGTTAAGCTGTCTTTTATTTTTCCTTGTTCCTCGTTTATTTTTATTTTAAGGTTAAGAATCAATTCATGAAATTTTTGTTTAAGTTTCGTAGATAAACAATAATAGTAAAGGAAAAGTAATAAAGAAAAGTAATGAACAATGCAAACTGATTAAACGGAAATGTTCATGGTATATTTACTTTAACTTTATATTATCTACAAACAATAACGCAACCGTCAAACTTCTATCAAGTTTCAGTTTGCTTTAAATTCATTATTTTTTCTTTACTTCGCAAAATTTACTCCTGGTTACTGGCATAACAATGATTTCATGTAAATCGTATTTGCATTAAAAACATCTTTGATCTTAAATGGAACCTTATAAGTTATGAAAAGGTAATTAAAAATATTATTGTAATAAAATTTTAGTGAGAGCGACGCCACACGATGCGGTGCTAGGACGTGCGTCACTCATGTCGGCCTTGTGGTGGTTACTTACCATCCAAATCCACAAAACCAAGTTTTTTTTAACTATTCTATACCAGCGCTTAATTACAACCACACCTGATGGTAAGTGGTGATATAGCCTAAAATGGTGAGACACACTGACTTAACAAAAGCCTATTCGCGTCTGAATTGTTAGGCCATTGAAACAAACCCCACTCGGATGGTGGTTAAATAAATCATCCGTACACATAGTAAAACTCTGCATGGAAGCGCTGACAGTCAGAATCGTACTGCTCATTATCATTAACATTATTCACCTCCTAATCTAAATCCGATGAAGCTGTAAAAACCCCTCACATTGCCCAAAACAGGGAGAGGTATGATGACGAATTATGACACTTGAAGGATGCTTTATTATCTGCACCGTGTTTTAAGTCTACCGCTGATGAGGTACCGCGTTCATATTGCTTTGCGTTGAGTGGAATGGAGTGGACACTAGTGGAATGGCACCATATGCACCGACATCATTGCAGTGAATCACAGCACTCCTCGCATATTTCTTCATTTTTAAAGCAAAACGAACGAGATTTTGTGCTAAAACTACAAGCTTCAAGTTGGTTCTTACGCCCTTCTGGCATCATGTCATCATTTATAAAAACAGTTCGCCGTAAAGGCAGCACTTAGCTACCGCACTACTATTGCATACTACAAAGCATCGTGTGGTTTCGCTCTAACCAGTGTGAAGTATATTATATGATAAGAGATTCAAGTAAGAATAATGGAACCCTCTATTTATTATTACTGTAATACCATGTTGATCTGGCACTTATAACACACACATTACAAAACACAGCAGCAAAGCTGCTATTTCTCGCTAGTATTCTGTGAGAGTTTGATCTTGCCACGGTCAAACTTCAACGATAATACATCTGCAGCATGTCTCTAACACGTGAAAATGATGTTTCTATTATTATCTAGTTTCGTGATTAGTTGATAATATAAATGCAAAAAATACTAAATATTAACTACACTTAACGTAAGAAATAACTCTTTATTCGTTTATGTTATTCAATAGGGTACATTTGATCCTCTATAATCGTATCTACCCTACAACCGGATGAAATCTCCTTCCTTTAGCAATGGCCACAGTATAGATTATATAACAAAATATAATCTGTCATCTGTTAAGTATATTCGGTTTGTAATGGTGTATGCAAGTCGCCACCTATCAATTTTTTCAGCATTTTCCATCTAAACCCACATTTTTGGTCAAATATTGTCCGAATGGCTCGCTGTTCTTTGGACTAAACCCACTCCCTCTGAGGTTACAGTCGTGATGTTATGCTAATAAAAAACATCCATTCATCCATCTATTATAGAATATATAAGTACACTGCTGAATATGGGCCTCCCCCATGGATTACATCATAGGTGGGAATTTGCCATATTTGCCATGCTTGACAGGCGGCTTGGCAACTGTTTTAATTATTTTGAGTTGTTACTAGGAAGACGCTGCTAACCATCACATGTTTCAGGTTTCTCCTGTCACCTCTTACTTATCCACTCTTACTGTAAACATGAACGCAGTAATTTATTACTTTCATTAATAAGGAGTAATTTCTTTTTAACCACACCTTACCTTCGTTATCCGTGATAGCAGCATTTGCTCGTACTCCATAGAAGTATTTAACGAGTGGCTCATCACCCTCGGCGGCAGCTATATGTAAAGCGGTTTGGCCAGCCCCATTAACAGCGTCCACTGATGCTCCGTAGTCAACCAGAATACGCGCCATGTCCACATCGCGCCTCCTAGCTGCAAGGTGAAGTGCCGTATCGCCGGCGGGGGTTGCTGCCTGGACACGAGTGGCACGACCAATAGTGGTATTCAACGGTATTTATTATTTAATTTATTTTAACACTGTATGTCTAAGTTATACGTTCAGTGTTAAAACTGTGACGAAATTTGGTGATGATGACGAAGAAATAATTTAACCCATGAATACTGATTATATCATTAACAATAACAGTGGCATTGTTAAATAAATTAATCGTAGTCACTCTTGATCTCAACTTTTTAGTAATATTAAATTCCAATCTTATAGAAATTATTTAGCTGTAACGACTTTGCTTTGTGAAAACGGCGTAAAAGAATCCATTACTTAATTTATGTCTTATACCTATAGTCTATATGTAGTCTATACCTTTGATGTCGTAAGAAACGGTTATGGAAAACTCCAAAAGGATCTATAACGTTTGATAGATGGAAAAATTTTCCTGATGAGAGTGTTAAAATCAAAACATTTTATTCAAAATTGACCTTTACAAAGGCACTTTCGGTTTAACAAGTACATACTGCGCGAGAGCTTGTGAGAAAAAGCGACAAGAAACGAATAGGCTACTTTTCTTCCAACAATAGCAATTTAACCTTATAAAGTATAAACATATGTAAAATAGTCTTAGGATCATCAATAATTTGACGCATTTTTATATTCTAAATAATCATCCAATTTACAACACAATTTCTTCATAAAAATGGTTTTTAAATGGGCCTTAAACTTTTGCAAGAGCAAATCGCAGGGAATATTGTAAAACATTGTTATAAATTTCTACCCGAAATTGAGCCACTAGTTTTTATTAAACTGTACTTTAAATTACGTAGTAACATTATTTAACGTGTGCTTTGGGACAGCAAACTAGGAATTTTTTGCGTGTGATAAAAGTAAGTATATCGTATATTTTATGAAAGTTTTTGAAACAGATTTTTTTACCAAAAAAATATTTTCCAAGATGACTCCTTTGGCAACAATTAAGACATTAATTTCTTTAAAAATATCTCGGGGTTAGGTCACAGGCACATATAGATACATATCCATCCCACAATAATCACTCATATACCATAATACTATAGTAATACTTATTACAATATTGCCACAGCATTTTTAATTGAATATACAGCAAAATTAAATCTTCATCTGGGAATCAAAATTAAAAAAAATTTAGTCATTTCGTTCAGAGCCCGATATTCAGCAAACGCTCCTACTTTTTTGACTGACAAAAAAAAGTTGAAGCGTTAAAATCTCTATTAATATAAGAATCCGCACAGAAATTTTATATGGCTAGTTTATTTCTGAAGGGATTTTTATAAAACTGGAGTGGTTAATACTGGCTATCCTACCCTTCAGACTGGAACACTAGTGCAAGCACTGTTTGTGAGTGGATACCTGATGGTAAGTGGATGCTGTGGCCCATAGACATCTACATTTATCATCAATTAGAAATCAAAACACAGATGGGTTGTCACCCCTGAGGACTAAGATGGAATGCCTCGTTTCCAGTAAAAACGGTCTCCGGATCTCTACACTCACCATACGAAACACAGCAGTATTAAGCTGTAAGCGTAAAATGCTGGTATTCTGTGAGAGCGTGGTCCTCTCCCGGTCGAGCTGACCCATGCGTGCTACAACCATAATATAGCTGAAGCGTGGCTCTACCACGTATGGATATTATAGTGCTGCAGAAATAAGTTAGAAAGTGGTATTTACATATCCCAAGCAGAAAAGAAGTCCTATCATCTGTTGTAATTATTTTGGCTCACTTTACCATTCAGACCGCAATATATTTGGCGGCAGAAATATTTGAGAGGATACTTATATACTTAAATAAAATCCAAAAACTGAAAAAAAAAATGAAATTAGGCAATACCTTTAGTTGTTCAGCCGTTTGCGCACTAAGAAGCTCCCGGACCATGCTCTGGTTACCGGCCTCCACAGCAAGCAGCAGCGGGATCTTGCCCCTCTGGAACACCATGTCGCGGATTAACTTTTTCCATTCCTTCTGTCGCGCGCGTTCTTTATTCAACTCGATAAAACTGAGCTCAAGCTTCTGGATGTCCCTAGACTGAAGACTCGCAGGTGGGCTGCGATTACCTGACCGCAAGCTTAAATTCGCACTTCTAGGGCTATCCCTCCTATCCTCATTCATGGCTCATATGCAACTGATCGCTTTGGCCCTGATTTACACCCGCACTGTTTTGATTTGATGCAGTGTCTATGCAACTGCTCACGCTATTTGCGGCATACCACTGCACGGAGTTTCAAAATTATGACACAGAACAGTAGTTTTCAACGTATGTGAACCGCAATCTTCGTAGGTGGTTCGATAGAATACACATAACTTTTGAATAATGCGATAACCGCATGCAATTTTATAATAATGTCGATCAACCGCCAAGAAGTCGTATACGTACTTGATCCTCCATAGGGACTAGACTATTCTAAAACAAAGGCGCGTGCGAACATTGTAAAGCTGCCTTGCTCTAGTCGTGCCTAAGGACTGACTGAAACGGATTCTATTAAAATTACTAATTTTGAATTTCAGCGCCGACGTTATAACTAATATTCAACGACTGATTTGCATTGTAAATTTCAATTCGTGACGTTTACAAGGCGGTTAAAGCTCGGCGGATAACTAGCTAGTTTCTATTCGCGTGGGGTGTACCCGCGGTGCCGGAATGTCCTTACAATATCAACCTTGCGGCCGTTTTTATGAAGGTAACACACCTTTTTAATTTTTGCGTGAGACAAAGCGTACGCATAGACCAACTCTATTCAGAACTTTTGTTTGGTAATTTTTTCACGAGCTGCCCGTAAAACAAACTATGTTTACTAGCGATTTCGGCGTAATTCCTGAATCAGTGGAGGATGGCAGTGCCAGGCGACGAGTGGCTGCACGCGATCGTTGTGACCAATGTTGCATCTCGCCTATTCACTATATCTATTCTCTAATACGTTTTCGATTAGATTTAATGGGCCTATTAATAAAAAATAAAATAGTAAACTTTAGAATTTAATACCTTTGCTGTCATTTAATTGAAATAAAGGATACAATGCTTGCTTGCTTGCTGAAGTGATGTGAAATTATTTTATATCACTTTTCCAAAAGCATTCTATAAACGTAAATCTAAGCAAGTAAATAAAGTAAGTTGCAAAATAAGAATGTGTTTGAATAAAAAAGACACTAATTATAATAAAATCCCCTTTTTCTCACTTTCAAACTATTATAAGGTGCTGTAATTTCACTTAAGGAAGTTCTATTTTACATAACTCTATGCTTCGTGATACGTAGTACAAACCCTTGACATGAATTTATTAAGCAGACCATGCGACGTAATTAATAACATTATTCATGTTAAAAGAAAATAAATTAAAGGAGAAAAGTAACTTGTTCTATTTTCAAACGAAACATTTGCCGCGTTCTAATTGGACACAGAAAATTGAAAGAAGCAATGACTAAAAAATATTATTTGTTTTTCTTATAACCTATCATGTCACTTACTTTTTAATTTTTTCACAGTTTAATTAAATATTTATTTAGTTAACATACGTGTCTTTTTTGACACATTCCGATTCTTCATAATAGAGCGTAAAGCCCCAATTCACTCCATTTCGTCGTTCTACGACGAGTGAATGCAGGAAATCTATATCCTTATCCTTATATCTACCATCCCTGCTAAATGCACATCCCAAATACACGAACTCATCCACTTATCCTCTGTGACATAAGCGCAAACTCCAGCTCGTGACACAAAGGAGTGTTCCAGTTTGTACCCCGGGTAGGAGAGATACGAGACATCAGCTAGAGAGGACACCTGCGTCTCGGTCAGAAAGAGCAGAGCCGGCCTCGCCGTCGCGAGATGGTAGTGGACGGCGTTCAGGTTAGAGTAAAGTCCCCTGATATTGCAGAAATTCACGGATAGTATGGTAGAGGTCGCCTTGGTCTTGTTGCTCCTTTGCCCCGAGCAGTTGTAGAAAGAATCTTTTGTGACGAACATTTTTTTTCATCATAAGAAGATTCACATGTATACATGAGAAAGAGGTGTTGATAGAAGCATGACAGATATCATATTTGTGGATGAAAGAATGAGGAGCGCAGTCGTAGATACAAGGGTTTAACGGGGTCTAACGTAGGGACGGATCATTACTTGGTCTTATGTCGGATTAGTGGTCTATTCAAGTATTGGCGGCATCGGACATCTGTGTCTACCACTGCGTTACAGCGTATAAGAATAGAGAAATCACAAGATGAAGATGTAAAAGAGAAATATAGATATAGACTGAGGGAAAATATTAAGTATTTGAATGAGTTGTGTATGAATGATTTGGATTTGAATACTGTGTGAGATACTGTTAAGAAAGGTTTGGTGGATGCAGCCACCAAAGTATATGGTGTAAGTAAGATAACTAATGAAATGAAAAATAATATATTGTGGTGGGATGATGAGGTACGGATGGCAGTTGAAGCAAAGAAGAGAGCATGGCTAGATTTACTAGTCGTTTAACTATTCGTCTTATTTACATATAACACATCTATTCCTCTGTCATTCATCATTTCGCTTCATTCTTTTTTCTAATTTATTCATCTTAACATTCATTGCTCCACATACTTCCAGCGTAGCCAGACGGGCTTCCGCCATCCACTTTTCGCCCCTCCGGGAAATAGTAATTAACGGGTGGTGAACCTCGTCGCTGGTTTTACTCCCGGAGATTCTTCACATTTACTCCCGGAGATTCTTCACACCCTTGCCCCCTTGCCTTGTATAGATGAAATAATGAAAGCAATGACAAGCATGAAAGCAGGTAAGGCAGCTGGATATGATAGTATCACTCGAGATGCTAAGGACTGGAGAGGGAGTGGTGGCAGTCCTGTTGTACACCTTGTTTAATTTATGTTGGGAATTGAAGCGGGTACCAGAAGACTGGTATAAAGCAGTAATAATCCCAATATATAAAGGAAAAGGGTTACAGCAGGATTGCAAAAACAACCGTGGTATTAGCTTGCTTAGTATTGTGGGTAAATTGCATGCTATGGTGTTAATCGAAAGAGTTATGAAAGAAACTGAAGGAAACATTTGAGATGTGAAAGCGGGAATTAGAAAGGGAATGGGGTGTACATTGAAATAATACTAGTTTTTACGGAATTTATCGCGTATATTTAACTTTTTTAACTTTTTAAATACCCGACGTTTCGAACGCTTTACAGCACTCATGGTCACGGGCAGGACTGAGATGTTCAACGTCCATATGTCATAGTTAACCGCGGTTACCATAGATTAAAATTTTAACTTTTGTTCCGATCTATGCAGCATGAACTTATGGTATCTTGAAGTCTTGCAGTTGTATGCTTGGGTTGGGATTTAATTTTATTTATTATAGGATCCCAAGCAGATGGTAGCACCCAGCCATCTTCTCTATTGAAATTAGGATGTTTTTTGATTTCAATAGCCTCGCGAATCATCCTTGGAAGGAATCGGTGTTCTTTAGCGAGGATCTGCGGTCTATCAAATCTGATGTAGTGACGGGGGCGATCCTGTACGTGTTCACAGACTGCAGACTTCCCGGAGCGTCGATTCTTCACATCAGCTATATGTTCTTTAACGCGGGTTTTTATTGATCTTTTAGTTTGTCCTATGTAGGAGAGACCACATTCACAATCAAGCTTGTACACTCCTGCATCTTGCAGAGGGACATTACACTTGACCGATGGTAAAAACTGACCAATCTTCTTCAGCGGCTTGAAGTATGTTTTGATGGAAGCGCGCTTCAAGATGTAGCCAATCTTGTCAGTGACTCCTCTAACATATGGCAGTACAGCAGGTACACGCTCGACTGTGGCCGGCTTCACTCGTTCACTGTGACGTAGGCGCGGGACTCGAAGCTTGTTGTCATGCAAAACTTGCTTGACATGGTGGAGCTCTGCTGCAAGGTGTTTACTGTCACAGATCCCTCGTACTCTCTGAAACAAAGATTTACCCACGGTAGCTAACTGTGAAGGATGGCGATGAGAATCACCGTTTAAATATCTATCTGTATGGGTCTTTTTTTCTATACACAGTATGGCTCAAGGTGTTATCAGGATTCCGAATTACTAACACATCTAGAAAAGCTAAGGAATTGTTTGCCTTTAACTCCATTGTGAACTGAATTTTAGAATTTATAGAGTTAAGATGGTCTAAAAATGCAGTTACTTTATCTAAAGGTAGAATTGTGAAAGTTTCGTCTACGTACCGCTTGTAGAACCTTGGATTTATGGGAGAAACTAAGCAGGGCTTTCTCCTCAAATTCTTCCATGAATATGTCGGCGACAATGGGAGATACAGGTGAGCCCATCGCCACACCATCTACTTGCTTGTAGAACTCCTCCTTCCACAATAGGTAGCCAGATGTAAGGCAGTGTCTGAGTAATACTGCATATTCTACGGGCATGTTGTTTTCTTCCAGCCTTCTAGTTACAATTGAGATGCAGTCTTCAACAGGTAAGCATGTAAACAATGACTGCACATCAAAACTGACCATAGTTTCATTGTCTGCCAGATGTAGGTCTTTAATCTCGCTGACAAAATGGTAGGAATCCTTTATGTGTGCTCTTGTATGTCCCCTGAGTGGTGAGAGTATTTTCGCTAAGTGTTGAGCCAATCTGTAAGTTGGTGAATCGATTTGGCTCACTATGGGACGTAATGGAGCATTGGGCTTGTGTATTTTTGGTAACCCATACAATTTTGGTGATTTGGCGCACGTAGGTATTATCCATTTTACGTCCAGATTTAATTTTTCTGAGTGTTTCTTTATGAGGTCACTAGTTGTTTTTAGTGTGCTATTTGTTGGGTCGTTTTTAACCTTTTTATAAGTACTTACATCCGACAAAAGTTCTTGTATAGAACTGACGTATCCATGACTACCGTGGCGTTTCCCTTATCTGCGCGGAGAATCATAAGTTCGTGTTTATTGCGTAGGTTCTTTAACGCTATAAATTCGTCTTTGGGAAGATTCGGTTTAGGCACTGAACATCGACGTAACATAGACGAGATGTCTTGACGTATCGCTTCCAAATCTTCTTTCCGCATATTGTTTTTAAATAAACAGTCCTCGACACTACAGATAATTTCTTCGTACGGTAATTTGCGGGGTGTAATTGCAAAGTTGAGGCCTTTGGATAAAACCCTAATTGTTGCATCATCCAGTGTTTGTTTTGACAGATTATAGAGCGCGATTAATCCATAATCTGTGTTTGTCAATGGTTGCTTTCGGTTCTGGCATTGATTCAGATGTTTGACATTTGTCTTGTTCATTAATTTTTGATATTTTTCTATATGTTTGTTTTTGCATTCATTATATTTACTAATTTCGCGTTTATTTAATGTTTCCATACAAAAATTATAGTCAAAAGTCGTTAAAACTTTCTTCAATTCACTGGATGATGTGTCTATGGATTTGTTTATGTCATATAGATCGGAGCGTTTTTGTTGGATTACCGTCCGTAACAACTTTTTACTCGCCTGATTTAAGATCTTAGCGCTTCCTCGAATGTCCTTTTTGGTTGATATTTTAACACACGTAGGAATGAGATTATGGTCACGGCATCTCTTCAAGAAATTTAAGGCTGTTAGATATCTTGCGCGCTTGGTCTTTAGATCTTCTAATCGGCGTATTTTATTTGCAATACCAGTCCATGGTTTACATAATGATTTCTTATATTTACGCGAACACTACACCTTGAAATAATACTAGTTTTTACGGAATTTATCGCGTATATTTAACTTTTTAATAAATACCCGACGTTTCGAACGCTTTACAGCACTCATGGTCACGGGCAGGACTGAGATGTTCAACGTCCATATGTCATAGTTAACCGCGGTTACCATAGATTAAAATTTTAACTTTTGTTCCGATCTATGCAGTATGAACTTATGGTATCTTGAAGTCTTGCAGTTGTATGCTTGGGTTGGGATTTAATTTTATTTATTATAGGATCCCAAGCAGATGGTAGCACCCAGCCATCTTCTCTATTGAAATTAGGATGTTTTTTGATTTCAATAGCCCTCGCGAATCATCCTTGGAAGTAATCGGTGTTTTTTAGCGAGGATCTGCGGTCTATCAAATCTGATGTAGTGACGGGGGCGATCCTGTACGTGTTCACAGACTGCAGACTTCCCGGAGCGTCGATTCTTCACATCAGCTATATGTTCTTTAACGCGGGTTTTTATTGATCTTTTAGTTTGTCCTATGTAGGAGAGACCACATTCACAATCAAGCTTGTATACTCCTGCATCTTGCAGAGGGACATTACACTTGACCGATGGTAAAAACTGACCAATCTTCTTCAGCGGCTTGAAGTATGTTTTGATGGAAGCGCGCTTCAAGATGTAGCCAATCTTGTCAGTGACTCCTCTAACATATGGCAGTACAGCAGGTACACGCTCGACTGTGGCCGGCTTCACTCGTTCACTGTGACGTAGGCGCGGGACTCGAAGCTTGTTGTCATGCAAAACTTGCTTGACATGGTGGAGCTCTGCAGCCAGGTGTTTACTGTCACAGATCCCTCGTGCTCTCTGAAACAAAGATTTACCCAGGTAGTAATGTGAAGGATGGTGGTGAGAATACGTTTAATCTTCTGTATGGGTCTTTTTTCTATACACAGTGGCTGTATCAGGATTCCGAATTACTAACACATCTAGGAAAGCTAAGGAATTTTTTGCCTCTAACTCCATTGTGAACTGAATTTTAGAATTTATAGAGTTAAGATGGTCTAAAAATGCAGTTACTTTATCTAAAGGTAGAATTGTGAAAGTTTCGTCTACGTACCGCTTGTAGAACCTTGGATTTATGGGAGAACTAAGCAGGGCTTTCTCCTCAAAGTCTTCCATGAATATGTCGGCGACAATGGGAGATACAGGTGAGCCCATCGCCACACCATCTACTTGCTTGTAGAACTCCTCCTTCCACAATAGGTAGCCAGATGTAAGGCAGTGTCTGAGTAATACTGCATATTCTACGGGCATGTTGTTTTCTTTCAGCCTTCTAGTTACAATTGAGATGCAGTCTTCAACAGGTAAGCATGTGAACAGTGACTTCACATCAAAACTGACCATAGTTTCATTGTGGGTGCCAGATGTAGGTCTTTAATCTCGCTGACAAAATGGTAGGAATCCTTTATGTGTGCTCTTGTATGTCCCCTGAGTGGTGAGAGTATTTTCGCTGAGTGTTGAGCCAATGTGTAAGTTGGTGAATCGATTTGGCTCACTATGGGACGTAATGGAGCATTGGGCATGTGTATTTTTGGTAACCCATACAATTTTGGTGATTTGGCGCACGTAGGTATTATCCATTTTACGTCCAGATTTAATTTTTCGGAGTGTTTCTTTATGAGGTCACTAGTTGTTTTTAGTGTGCTATTCGCTGGGTCGTTTTTAACCCTTTTATAGGTACTTACATCCGACAAAAGTTCTTGTATTTTAGAATTATAATCTGACGTATCCATGACTACCGTGGCGTTTCCCTTATCTGCGCGGAGAATCGTAAGTTCGTGTTTATTGCGTAGGTTCTTTAACGCTATAAATTCGTCTTTGGGAAGATTCAGTTTAGGCACTGAACATCGACGTAACATAGACGAGATGTCTTGACGTATCGCCTCCAAATCTTCTTTCCGCATATTGTTTTTAAATAAACAGTCCTCGACACTACAGATAATTTCTTCGTACGGTAATTTGCGGGGTGTAATTGCAAAGTTGAGGCCTTTGGATAAAACCCTAATTGTTGCATCATCCAGTGTTTGTTTTGACAGATTATAGAGCGCGATTAATCTATGATCTGTGTTTGTCAATGGTTGCTTTCGGTTCTGGCATTGATTCAGATGTTTGACATTTGACTTGTTCGTTAATTTTTGATATTTTTGTATATGTTTGTTTTTGCATTCATTATATTTACTAATTTCGCGTTTATTTAATGTTTCCATACAAAAATTATTTAAGTTATGTGAATAAGAATAGAAGGAGAGTTGATTGAGCAAGTGGATGAGTTCGTGTATTTGAGATGTGTATTTAGCAGGGCTGGTAGATATGATAAGGCGACGATTGGATGCAGGAAATAGAGTGAATGGAGCTCTACGCTATATTATGAAGAATCAGAATGTGTCAAAAAAGGCACGTATGGTAATTCATAATGCTGTGTTGACCCCTATTTTAATGTGTGGTAGTAAAAGTTGGGTATGGCAGAAGAAGCACGAAAGTAGAATAAATGCTGTATAAATGTGGTGTTTAAAGAGTATGCTAGGGCTGAATCTGAATGAAAGAGTAATAATTTGTGTGATAAAAGAAAAATGTGGTATGTAAGATAACGTTGTGACCAGGATTAAGAAAGGAATGCTTCGGTGGTTTGGTATAGAAAGAATGAACGAAGAAAGAGTGACAATGCAAATTTTATATGACAGATCTGAATGGCAGAGTCGGAAAGGGACACCCTAGACGAATGTTTATTCACAAAATTGGCGATGTTTTGAAAATGGGCCACATTATGGGTACTCTTAACCGACGAGCGTGTATACGTAGATATATTCATTTAAAGGAGGCAAGAGAGGTGTGTCAGGATCGTGCCAAATGAAAGTCCGTAGTCCCTGCCTACCCCTCTGGGAGACAGGTGTGAGTGTTTATGATTACGAAAAATATTTTTCCACTATTGTAATTTTTGTTCAATCATAAATCCCTTAAAAACTTCACATAACGAAAGAAAAACCTTGCGAAATTACACAGAAAATAAATGACAAACAGAAAAGAATAAAAAAATTAAGCCAGTGTTGGTCGATATTATAATTTCAATCGATTAATACAAGACAAAATGTGCATATTCCGCTTTTAAAAATTATTTAAAAAAAACTTACCCCATCAACACGTAAGCGAATATCCTTTCCAGCAGCTGTCAGTAGAGCCCGGAGAATACTAGTGGCGGTACCGGTCTGCCTGCTGGCCACCAAGTGAACGGCTGTCTGTTGACGGCTCTTGGCAAAAAATAATAAAATTAATAATCTTTTATAAGCTTAATTACTATAATACTATAATTAATATATATTTTTACTTCACGCTATAAAATGATTTTCAAAAAATGAGGAATTGATTGATTTCTCATCAGATCTCAAGGTTTCGAGGTCCTAGGAAGCTATTCTGGCTATTTTTGAGATGATATGCTTATGTGTGTATGTGTGTGTGTGTGTGTGTGTGTGTGTGTGCGGGGGGGGGGGTGTTAATATGTAAGCGTCTCATAACTTTGTAACGGAGAGTACGATCGAAAAGCGGTTTACGCATATGAAAGAACCTCGCTGTACCTGGATTTTCTTTGAATTTAGACGGAATTGCCACGATAGATTCTTAGAAAACCTTAATAACGAGTTTTTTTTAAATTTACATAATTTAGTTTTCTTGGAATTGCTTCGATACCCTTGTCTTGATCAATTCTGTAATCTAATCAGCTCTTCTATTCAAAAACGACGTCCATTTCCGTAAATCACATCAAAATGGAATAATTTATTCGTGGAGTATTCAATTTTCAAAAAAAAAGTGGGACTTGAAAATTAAATAAGTGGAATTTTGATATTGAAATTAGCGGGAAGTTCCATGGATGGCCTGCAGGGTTAACTAATTTTTTTTTTCGTTAATTTATCGAGTAAACCTGCATCGTGGCTTTACCACGTAAGTTTGTATAATTGTGTGTTTTTATTAATTTTACAAAAAAAATATCATTACATTATTTAACGTTAAAATGAAAACCTTACATATTGTTACGAGCTTGAGGATCGTGACAATAAAAATTGCCGATAGAATTACCTAAATTAACACTTTAATTCACTTTACACTAATTTAAAATAATAATTAACAATAATAATTAATCACACTGATTCACTTTAATCCGCTCCGAAGCTTCGCTTGTCTCGCCGAATCCAATACTTCCTCGATCGCATCTTGCAACGCCTATTTATATAAATTAGCAGCGAAATATCCAGAATATTCAAGTAAACACGCGCAAGGTACCGAGAGTTCGTGTTTCAATTTCAAGAAGTTTAGTTCTTCGGTTCGAGACTAGATGGCGCTAGTGCCGTCGACTTGAGCGCGTAACACTGCCCCCTCCTAAGACATGCTCGTCCCGAGCATTATCGGCCCCATAATAACGCGCCAGGCGATCCACATGGACGATCTTAGGAGTCCCTCTTGCGCTTTTCTGTATCCGGTAGGTTACATCGTTGATCTTGGTCACAATCCGGTACGGGCCGTCCCATTTAGCTTGAAGCTTAGGAGATTTCCCTTTGCTGCGGACTGGATTGTGCAACCACACAAGTGAACCTTCGTCGAACCCTTTGTTGTTCATTTTGCGGTCGTACCGGGTTTTCATCTTTTCAGACATTTGCTGGCCCGATTGTCTGACGTGCTCATAAACGTCATTCATTTTGTTCCGTAAGTCATTTGCATAATCGGTTATACTGCGTGGAGCATCAGGTGCTATCCCGGTGATCAGGTCTGCAGGCAGCCTTAATTCTCTTCAAAGTTCGAAAAGTTTGCGAAAGCTGGTGTCACTGCTGTACTTTCGTGAACAGCGCTTCGATATGACAACAAAAACGGTTGTATGTGCTTGTCCCAATCTCGTTGCCGATTGTCTACAACTTTTGCTAGGTACCTCTCCAATGTCTGATTAAATCGTTCTACCATTCCATCAGATTGCGGGTGATAAGAAGTCGTTCTTGTTTTATGAGTACCCATAACTCGGCAAGTTTCCTGGAATATTTGAGACTCAAAATTCCTTCCTTGATCGCTGTGGATCTCTAAAGGTACTCCAAAACGACAGAAGACTTCATGAACTAGTTTATCTGCAACTGTTGAAGCTTCTTGATTTGGAATGGCGAAGACTTCTGGCCATTTAGTGAAGTAATCCATCACAACCATGAAATACTTGTTACCGCTTTCACTCTCCGGAAACGGCCCCGCCACGTCAATGGCTATTCTCTCCCATGGTGCACCAACATTGTACAACTTCAATGCACCTCTACTACGAGTCTGAGGTCCCTTTACAGCCGCACAACTTGTACATTTGCGACACCAGTCCTCGATATCGTTTCGACAGTGGACCCAGTAAAACCGTTCTCGGATCTTCAGTAGAGTTCGTTTAACTCCCAGATGGCCTCCTGAATAATCATTATGGTACAGCTGTAGAACATCCGGTACTTTAGCTTTAGGGACAACCATTTGTAAATGACAGCTGTCTCCCCGAACATTTTCCCATTTACGGCACAGAACTCCATCCTGAAGCACAAGCTGTCCCACTAGGCCCAATAGCTTTTAGTGGTCGAACTCATCGCTGAGACGTCGCTCCACTTGGGTTTGGGAGCACTGGCCTTCATCCATTCCAGGATCGGCTTGATGTCCGGATCTTCCTGCTGTGCACGTTGAAAGCTGTCCTTCCACTCGTTGCTGAGGTGGTCGGCCCTGAGCATCCTCAGGGATACCACTTCCTTACTAGTACAATGGTTGCAATCTTCAGGATAAGGTCTTCTTCACAATGCATCTGCGTTGCCATGAGATTTCCTGCTGCGATGTTCGATCTCAAAGTCGTATTCCTGCAGGAGTTCAATCCACCTCGCAACTTGTCCTTGGATTTTTAAACTGCAATAGCCATTTTAGTGCAGCATGGTCAGTTCGTAAGTGAAATTTTCGCCCCAGAAGATATTTGCTAAAATGCTGCAACGACTTTACCACAGCTAGCAATTCGCGTCTTGTGACACAATAGTTCCTTTCCGGTTTTGACAACGACTTGCTGAAGTACGCTATCACGACCTCTTGGTCACCATTCCGTTGAGACAACACACCGCAAAGTCCTATATCACTTGCGTCTGTGTCAACTATAAATTCTTTGCTTGCATCAGGGTATCCCAAAATAGGTGTTTTGCACAGACGGTCCTTGAGCTCCTGGAATGCGATATTACAACTTTCATCCCAGCAGAAATGTCGCTTCTCCTCGGTTAGCTTATGCAGAGGTTTGGCTATATCTGCAAAGTTCTTCACAAATCGCCGGTAATAGGAGCACAAACCCAAAAATTGCTCTAACCTGCGTCTTGTCTTTTGGAACCGGCCAATCCTTTACAGCTGCGATTTTCTCTGGATCCGTGCGGATACCTTCTTCCGACACTACATACCCCAAAAAGTTGACTTGCCGTTTGAATAGTGAACATTTCTTCGGACTCAGCTTGAGGTTGGCACTCTGAATCTTCATGAGCACGCGTTCCAGGTTTTGAAGGTGTTCCTCAAACGTACGGCCCACGATGATGCATGTCATCCAAGGAGACCAGACAGGCATCGCCAATTAGCCCGGTAAGTACAAGTTCCATCAGCCTTTCAAACGTTGCTGGAGCATTGCACAACCCAAACGGCATTACTTTAAATTGCCACAGACACTTTCCCGTCGAGAACGCAGTTTCTCCTTGTCCTTAGGGTCAATTTCAACTTGCCAGTAGCCACTTTTTAGATCCAGCGTGCTAAACCACTTTACTCCTGTAAGCATGTCCAGCGTGTCGTCAATTCTTGGCAAGGGATAGCTGTCCTTCTTAGTAACGTCGTTCAGACGGCGGTAGTCAACACAAAACCGCATGCTGCCATCCTTCTTCTTTACCAGTACCACGGGTGAACACCATGGACTAGATGAAGGTTCAATAACACCATCCTTAACCATTCCCTCAATCATGGTTTCCACTTCCTTTTCACGTGCTACCGGCAATCTTCTTGGCCGCTGTCGGATAGGCAATTCTTCGCCTGTGTTTATTTTGTGTTGAACTAAGCCAGTCTTTCCTATGTCAGCATCGTTTGATGAGAATACATAGGCATACTTGAGTAACAACTTCCTCGCTTTGACCATTTCATTCGGGGAGAGAACGCTGTGGCAGTCTTCTAAAAGTGTGCTCATTCTCTTTTGTGCATCCTTGCTGGGGGTCCCAGTCGATAGATATTGGCACCGACGTAACCAATCCACTTCCTCACAAGTACCAACCAGTGTGCCTTTTTCTATAATCTGTTCCTGGCCACAAACATTCAGCACACGTACTCCTGAGATGTTAGTGGTTCTGACCAAGGTTCGAGCCACTTTCCATGGAAGGTCATTTTCTAACCTTTCCACGAGTACACAACGATGAGGTTGCCCAGGATTCCGAGGAAGACTAACCGGCACAATCGTTTCCGATCTCTGCGGAAGAACAATCTTCTCAAGGCTGTACACGTTCCCTGGTAACGCTCCTTCCACAAAAAGTTCCTCTTGTCCACATTTCAAGACACCTTGCTTAACGTCAATCGCACAACAATTCTTCCTCATGAAGTCTAGGCCCAGGATGCAGTCGTCCATTATATCATCCACGATGACATTATGCAGGTAGATCATGTTGCCTAGCTTCAACTCCATCTCTTTCTCTCCACGGACGGGTATACGCTGACCGGTGGCTGTTACCAAACTAATGCGTTCTCGGTTGTATGCGGAGTCCCCAAGGAACTGACTTATTAGTTGGGAACTAACAACCGTACGAGAGGCTCCAGTGTCTATGGTCAGTTTACACTGCATTCCGTTGACCTCGCCCTTGATGATTAGACTGTTCCCATCGTGGGTTTGTGAGATCGAGATCCTTGGGGCTCTTTTAACATCAGCCAGCACCCGCCCCGCAGTTCTGGCTTTTACTCGTTTCCCTGCTGCTGCTGGGCGGTGCTGTTGGCCGCACTACCCTCCTGAGATCGTTCACCTTCCCTTTCTAGGGTTCGCTTAGGGCAGCTGGATCGAAGGTGGCCCTTTTCCCCACAGCCATAGCACCTAGGGCTGTATCCTTTGTTGCGGTCGCGAACTGTAGCTGCTGCAACCTCCCTGACGCGATGGGAACGAAGATCCTGCCGCACGGCTTCCACCTCCAGTGCATGGGCCAAGGCGTCCTTAAGCGTCTCGTGGTGCCCGAGCCTCACAGCAGCTCTGACTTCCAGGTCG